AATACATGGACTACATTGATTTACACAATACTCAAGTGAACTCAATTTGCTCACTGAAAGCAACTGCCTCAAATTGGTCAACTGCTGAATGAGTTTATGAAGTAATGTGCTATATATGCTTAGAAGCATACTTATAATGATAACTTATTTTAGTTAATTAGAAAAGTTCGGTTTAACTCTAATGTCTTATTTTTCACAACAGCACACATACATGTAAATCTGGAATCACCAGAGAGATTCTGACTGCATCAGCAACTAAACAGCCGCTATCTTTAAATAGAGAAACATGCAGAATAACATCAGCAGTTCATTGTTCATCTTTAACTCATACACTGGCTCTACTCTCCTCCACAACGGTGACACACAGAAGAAATTAGCATCTGGTTTTACAGTAAAATACTGTTTTTTCCTTGATTTAACGGTAATCTACTGGCAGCTGTGGTTGCCAGCAATCTACTGTTTTTTTACAGTCTATTTCCGTTGTGTAAATTAACAGTATATTACTGTTAAAATACATTTTTACACTGTGTTTTTACCTCTCACACCTTTAACCCTTTAAACCCCAGAGCATATACTTCCGTTTTTATTGAAGGTGCCACACTACTGAGTGTTCAAGAAACATGGAGCAAAGCTGAAGTAAATTCATTAATTAACTGACTAATTAAATGATAATTGAGGATTAACAATGAACAAATGAAGAAATACTGAAGGGAGAAAACAAGAACAGAACATACAAAACTTTAGTCACAGCTTTATAATGAAATAACCTGAAGAACAACAAATGATTAAATCATTTAAATGATCAGTGGATGATTAAACAACTCTACATACATCATCACCAGCTTCACTTATTACTTAATACATGTATTTTTGTATAACATCTACTAAAGTTCTTCTTGAGAAAAAGTTAAAGTTTTACGTCACCATCATGGAGAACAGAGTTTGCTTTAGTTGGGCTCTTAGCCCTGTCATATTTAACATTTATATATCTTGGCTGCTGCAATTGTTAAGAACTTTGTTTGAAAAGCTCCTTTGTTGTGGCAAGCCAGCCAAAAACCTAAATAAGATCTGGTGATGTTCATGTTGCTATTAAATGGCAGAGTCTGTTCTCATTTAGTATACTAAAATTTACTGCTCCTATTCAATGTTAAATCTATTGTTTACATTATGTGTATATATATATATATGGCAATGATTTCTGGAAGTTTTTAAGAATATCTTGGACAAAACACTGCTCTATGGTGTAAATCTCACTCAAACAGACATCAATTATCAGCATATGAACCTCAATAATGGTGACAACTAACAAAATTAACAGTTTAACTCACAAACAGGCAACTGAAAGTCTAAACATAAACAACAGTAGAATCAAACACAAATAAAGAAAACTGTGAGACCATTATACAACATTTATTTATACCGCAATGCATGCTGGGATATTTGTACAGTGCCACTCCCAGCATGCATTGCAGCATGAAACATTTGAGATGTTACCATTGTTGAGATACAAGGTCAGATTCATGAGGTCTGAGTGTGTATTAGTCATAACTGAACTGTTTTTGTATGTTATTTCTTAACTGGTAAGTAATTACGGAGGTATCTTTTCTGTTTCCACTTCTCATTAATTAAATTAATACCTGCAACTGAGCATAAAATCTATTGCATGAGGCCCTTCTTCCAGATTTATACCAAAACATTTATCAGAACTAATTTCAGATAAATAGATTTCTTTATTTCTTGACTTCCCAACTTTATTGCTATAGTACAAACGTTTTGTAAACTCTGTATTCAAGCAAATGGAAAGTCTTGTTAAATGAGTTCAAGGGTGAAGAGCCCAACTAAACCAGCCCCTCACTCCATTACGGTGACACAAAAAACACCTTAATTTCTGTTGGATCTCAATGAGAATAGTATGGAAGTCAAATCATTTAGTAATAAGTGAGTGTCTGCTGTTGTTTGTGGAGTTGTTTAATGATCCTCTGCTGAGACTGAAGCTGTTTTATTTTATTTGATTTTATTTAATGTTGTAACTCAAGTCACTGTTTGTGTTTCTTGTTTATTTTCTTAAGTAATTGAGATTATTAACAGCAGGTGTTCATCAGTGTCTGAATTCACTCATTAGTGTTCATTAAAACTGTCAGGTGAACTATATTAGTTAACTAGTGTATGAAATAGTGTACAAGGACACAAAGCGTGATTTCAAACACAGACTTCAAAACATCGAATCTGAACTCTGTTAGCTCACAGTTTTCAGCAGTTGGTTACTTTCTCGAAAACAAAAATGTTACCCAGAAAGCACTGTTTTTAACAGAATATTACTGTTTTAGTGAAAAAACATTATTTTACCGTAGAATCTGACCGTTTTTTAACAGCAATTTTTTACAGTGTACCGCATGTTTTTTCGATTGTGGGGAAAACCAGAGCACCCAAAGGAAACCCACGTGAACACTGGGAGAACATGCAAACTCCACACAGAAATGCCAACTGACCAGCGCACAGTACTGTGTGTGTGTGTGTGTATGTATACATATATTGCATAAACTTTTCTAATATATTTGTTTTTGTTTTATTATTAATTTAATTTGTATTTATTTACTTTTTTACGGTAAATACAACTGTCATTACTATACGCAATTTTTTTCCTATATTTGTGTCTGCCTATTATTGTAATTGTATAACTTCTTCCTTGTTTATGCATGTAATGCCTACTTGGTTTGCATATTTTTTGAACATTTAATAAAAATAAATAAATTAATAAAAACATAAAAATTAGATGTAGTATATAATCCCAAATCTTATTTTAAAAAAGTTGGTGGTATGGAGTTTCTTTTAAAGTGTGACTTTAAGATTCATAAACTCATATTAGGCTAAAAAAAAGTCTCCTCTTTCTCTTTTCTTCTGGAGAAAGTACTATTTGTTTTATTTCAGCTCGAATAAAAGCTGTTTTTTATTCTAAACTTTATACTTAAACCATTTTAAAGACAAAACCATTAGCCCCTTTAAGCTATTTTTTCCCCAATAGTCTACAGAACAAACCATCCTTATACAATAACTTGTCTAATTTAATGTCATCATGGCAAACATAAAATAAATCAGTTATTAGAGATTAGTTATTAAAACTATTATGTTTAAAAATGTGCCGAAAAAATCTCATCTCCATTATACAGAAAATTATTATTTTTTTTACTTGTTCAAACTACTTAATTAAAATGTGCTGAAATAACACAATTATTGAGATTTCATTGGGACAACTTAATGTTCAGTCGACATACATTTTTTAAAAGTGTTAAGTTAACTTAATTTGTGTTGTGACAACATGAAAGAATTGTGTGGAACCCTGCACAAATATGGTGATCGGTTCATAATAAGTTGAAGCACATTTTCAGATTTTACCGTATTTGGCTTAACCGTTCTTGGGTGGCTCGCCAATGTATAGATGACTAATGCATAAAATAAGTAAGCTGACCAAAGTTCTTAAAGGGAGAAGACTTTATTGAAGACAATGTTAACAATGTTAGTTGATGTTAACTTGTCCATCTTCAAGTAACTTAAACCAAAGTACAGTCTGTGAGACACTGATGAAACCCCCCTGGAGATTACCCAACTGCTTTGGATGGGTCACATCTCTTGAGTTCCTGTAGGTTATTTGGTTCACACCTTATCAGAAGCAGATACTTGTTGCATATGAAACAAGCCAATACAATATATCAACATATAGAGTTATTTTGCCTTCTTGCAGTCCGATAGCAACTCTCACAACCTGGTACTGGGCTGTGACCCCTGATCTACACTACAAAACAGCTGGCAAAATCTTCATCCCTCTTCAGTTGAGTTTAAATTTTCAGGTGTTCAAAGGGTTTCATTATCAGTAACTTGATATGCATTCAAGAGTTCACACTTGTTTGGCATGCTATACCGGGAGAGACCTAAGCTCATAAGATCCTAGCCGTAGGCTACCTCCCGTAAGCAGGACGAGAGGGGAGTGTGAGCTCAGGTAGATCTCGATGAACTCCCCAGACTTCTTTCTATTCTAATGACAGATATAGGGTCGGCTAAAGGGAGATATAAGGCTTACTAAGAGCTCGACTATGGTGCCAATTTAATGTTCAGTTTACTTAGGTTGTGTGTTTTTGGACTGTGGGAGAAAACCAGGGGAAATCCACGTGAGCACAGGGAGAATGAGCAAACTGCACAAAAATGTCAACTGGTTAGCAGGGACTTTAACCTGCGACATTCTTACTGTGAGGCAACAGTGCTAACCACTGGCTAATCATTGGCTGCCGTGTTGCCCAATCTATAAAGGAGGGGGAGTAAGGGTGGGAGACAAGACAAAGATAACTGAGTTAAGCTACGGTCACACTGGGCTTTTCCTCCCATAGACTTGCATTCATACGCATGTGAATGCGTCAGACCAAAAACACAGGGTCATGCGTCAAGTTTCGCAGGTTGCTGAAGTGCAAAGTTCATGCTTGGTGAACTCTGACCTGCGAAATCGCATCACTTGACTGTGTGAGACCAATCGAGAATCAAAACATGACCTCTCTGGACAGAAATTTAAACCATGGAGCAATTGCTCATTTTTTTATTTCTAAAAAATCTTGTTTGATCCCGCCCCTTTTAACAGCACCGTACGACAGAATTTCACAATCTCAAACTCAAGTGTGACCGCAGCTTTAAGAAACTCTTGTTATTCATAGTGAGTTAGGAATTATCTCATTGGTGAATCATGTTTTAGCTAAAGCTGGACCAGCCGTGGACAATCATAAGCATGTGATCCTCTCGAAAGTAGTTTATAAATAAACTACACTTGAATGAACAGCCAAACTACATGAAAAAGCTGCCGTTTTGAATATACCCGTGTTTGTGTGGACAAGGCCTCAATGTTGAGGACTCAGCTCTCCATTGTGAAGCTTCATGTGAGTGTTGAGGCTTCTTTTACTTTTAAAGCCCTTTCCACATTCACTGCATCTAAAACGATCCTCTCTTGAGTGAGTCTTCATGTGTTGCTTAATGGTGTCTTTGCGTGTGAGACTCTTTCCACACTGATCACATGTAAACACTATGGTTCCAGTGTGACCATTCATGTGGTTCTTGAGGCTAAATTTGGTTGTGAAGCTCTTTCCACACTGAGCACATGCAAACGGCTTCTCTCCAGTGTGAGTTCTCATGTGGTGATTGAGTGTGTTTTTATGTGGAAAACTTTTACCACACTCTGTGCATGTGTAAGGTTTCTCTCCAGTGTGAATCCTCATGTGGATGTAAAGGTCTTGTTTTTGACCAAAACTCTTTCCACACTGTTCGCAGGTGTAAGGTTTCTCTCTAGTGTGAACTCTCATGTGAGCAATCAGGTTCGGCTTTTTACTGAAACTCTTTCCACACTGCTTACAGCTGAAAGGCTTCTCTCCTGTGTGAGTTCTCATGTGCACTGCCAAGTTTCTTGCATGACGGAAGCTTTTTCCACACTGTTGGCATGTGCAAGACCTCTCTCCAGTGTGAATTCTCATGTGGATTTTAAAGTTTTGTTTTTGACTAAAACTCTTTCCACACTGTTCGCAGGTGTAAGGTTTCTCCCCTGTGTGAACCCTCATGTGAACATTAAGGTTTGACTTTTGACTGAAACTCTTTCCACACTGTTTACAGCTGAAAGGCTTCTCTCCAGTGTGAATTCTCATGTGTGCTGCAAAGTGTCCAGCATGATAAAAGCTTTTTCCACACTGTTGGCATGTGTACGACCTCTCTCTAGTGTGAATTCTCATGTGGGCTTTAAAGCCTTGTATTTGACCAAAACTCTTTCCACACTGTTCGCAGGTGTAAGGTTGCTCCCTAGTGTGAACTCTCATGTGAACATCAAGCTTTGGCTTTTGACTAAAACTCTTTCTACACTGTTTACAGCTGAAATTACACCCCAATTTGGATTTCCGAGGTCTTCCATTTAAGGAAGTCTTTTTAGTCAGTGTGGGTTTTTCATCAGTCATTATTTCTTGGGGTTTCTCAAACTGCTGTTTCTCATCTAATTCATTCTGTTGATGAGTCTGTTCTTTCATCAGATCTATAAAAAAAAAAAAAAAAAAAAGTTAGCTTTAATATGAAGGCTCAAAGCGACAAGCAAGAAATGGATGTTTTCACCCAAATATTAAAATGACCTAACCATTTACTCTCCGTCATGTGGTTTTAAACTTTCCTTTATTGTTGAACACAGTAAGCCAGTAGCATTTTTTTTTTAAATATCTTCTTTTGTGTTTAACATGATCAAGAAACTCATAAAGGTTTAAAACCACACGAGGGAGAGTAAATGGTGAGGCTATTTTCATTTCTGCATCAACTATCCCTTTAAAAGTTTCCTACAATTACCCATTTTTTACAAGATGTAAAATAAGTCTTTGGTGTTCCCAGAATGTGTCTGAGGTTTCAGCTCAAAATCAGATCATATACACTGTAGAATATTTAATTTTGGGGGTCAGAGGAAAACCAAGCTCTTTTTGTGCCTGTGGCTTTAAATGCAAATAACCAAACGCACTCGCTTTAGATTACTCGTGTTGTTTCCTCGATTGAGACAAATCCTGCATGTCCATAGCAAGTTTGCATAATTCACGCTTATATTTGCAAGTTTGCATTATTGTATAAAACTTATGCAAATTCTTAATGCCACATTTACTTTAAGCTGGAGTGATGAGGAGATGGCAAGATGACATGCTTTGCTACTTGTTTTTTATTTATTTGTACTTTTGTCTTTGTGTATGTCCTGAGGCTTAGCTGAAGACCTACTTGGTGACATTGTATATACCCGACAAGATGCAGAAATGCTATCTAAAAAGGTTACTTGCGGTTTGTCTAATCAGGGACAGTGACAACGTAAATATACAAAATAATATTGATAACCGAGGGTTTACGAATTTGAACTGTCTGTTAATGAACACCCAGGATTATTTTTTAAACCCATGTATAGCATGAGCAGTGTGAAAGGTGACTACAGATAACCCAGAATTTATCCAGGGTTAGAATGACCCAGGGTTAACAATTTGAAGTGTGAAAAGCCCTAAGAATACTCAGCATCAGCTCTCAGGATAAACAGAGTACAATGACAAACAGTGACAATTGTCAATCATGTCATGATGACCTGGGGCCTGTTTCAGTAAGGAGGTTCAAGTTGATTTACCGAGAGATTAAATACTCAAGAGTTTTCAATTTCAGAAAAACATTTGAGCTACAAAAGTCTTTCAGTCAAGAGCAGTGAGGGATTTTCTCCTTTTGTTGTTTGATTAATGCTAAAAACAGTCGGCAGCAGGAATATTGCCCGCTGTCACTTTAAGAATAGTGCGGCTTTGATATGGTTTTTCTTTCACTTGTCTTTAGATTCTCAACTTGTTGTTTATTACACAAATAAGGGTTAATATGAATATTCACTAAACACAGCACTCTGACCCAAATTGGCATGTATTTGACCATTAAAGCGCTCAGATTAAGATGGCGTTAAATGTGTGTTCTATATGATGGAATAATCGTTTATCTCGATTAATGGTTTTTCATAATAGTTAGAAGCCAAAATCGAAATTGAAACCAAATTTTCGATTAATTGCACAGCCCTATCAAGTGGTAGAGGCTGATATGACATTTAGAATGTAAGCAGGACTAAAAAATCTTTTTAGAACTAGTAATAATCCCATTAATCTAGTTACAATACATGTCCGTCAAAGGTTAGTGAATTTAAGGTAATTATTCATCAAGAAAGGACAAGCCATTCTGCAACGTGACTTTGTTCTTTGTGTAACTGAAATGTAGGCAATAGCTATGCTTCCATCCAAAACAGCGAATTAAATTTATGTGCAAAACTGGGATGTCACAAAAAAGATGTGCGAATAAAGCTGCGTTTCCATTCAGTGAATCAAAGAGAACAAAATAGTCTCTTCCTGATTAACAGGCCCCAAATATGAACAGTAAAAACAGAATTTCCTGCAGTAGAAGAAGCTACATGAATCTTTTCTTTATTTAATAAATGACTTTCACCTCAGAAAATAATGCTGGCACAAAATGAACACGTGTTGGCGTTTGAAGCAATGAGATGCAGAGAACAGACACTCTCGACACGCTCTGAAGGTCATTAATAATATAATAACATGAATACTGAAACGATTCAGGTGTTTTAGAGTGACCAAAACAACATTTCAGATGTTTATACAGCCTGCTGGTTTGTCTATTCACACACATTTTCATCATTATATGATCTCTTGTAACAAACCCTTTTAAACAAACCAATTTTTTATGCTCATAGCCTATCCAAAAAGCACATAAAAATAGGTGGCTGAAAATGTAAGGCTAAGTGAGAAATATCGCTTTATCTTTTAAAAAGGGGAGGAGACCGACAGAAAACTCAGAGACAGGCTCTCTTGCTCTGCAAACAAGTGTGTTCATGACTATACATACAAAGAAAAACAATAAAATAAGAAAATATGACTTTGCTACAACAAGCAGCATTAGGCATGGGCCAGTATAAGATTCTGACAGTATGATAACCTTGAATAAAAAATATCACAGTTTTATGGTACTGTGATTACTCCTCTAAAATATATTCTTTTAAATGTCTCGGTAAAAAAAAAAAGAAAAAACACTTTTTCCTCTTTGAACACAAAACATTTTCTTTTGAGAAACTTTTAAAGTATTTTGGAGCAGTAAACATGTCAGGCTAAATCATTCAATTGAATACTTGACTTCTGCTGTCTTCATTTGTTTTATAAACACAGATTTCTTTACAATTTAAAATGGCATCTTTGGAGATCTTTTCTGCTGGAGATACTGTTGTCCTGAAAATCTTAAAACAAAATGTAAAAAAAAAAAAAAAACTTACATATAGCAATGAACGGTACAGCAGAAAATATTGGCAGTTTTAAACCTCGACTTTTTTCAAACTGCGTTATACCTTGAAAACGGTTATCGTCCCATGCCTCAGCAGCATAACATTGTTTTTAGGATCTAAAAAAAATTCTTTAATAAAAGTCAAGAGCAAAAAGATTCAAATGGCGGCGCCTGCTGGTACGTGAAGAATATGGTCAATACTAGGGTTGGGCATCTAAGCTATAATGCCGATCCGATACGCATCTCGATACAAAGAATATGATCCGATATATTAGCGATACATTTGTGACATATTGCGATGCAACACGATACGATTTACACCCATATCACGATACAATGTGATAATTCAGCACTAACTTATTAGATCAAGTTTAAGAGATTATGTAAGAAAGGATGCTGTGCCATTGAATGAGTTTGATTATTTATTAACAAAGCAAAACCAAGACTTTTTTTACAAACTGGCTTTTCTCTCAGAGCCAGAGTGTCAGTTTACAGTAGAGGGCCATTTTAGAACCTATAGCACATATTATTTAAAGATTTTCAAGATAAACAGAATGTATAAGTGCGATATATATTATAAATGTATATATTTGCACTCTTTCAACATAAATGTTTACCATTGCACAACAAGAATTGTGATTTAACCTTTCAACTATGAAAACAAGTTTTACAAAGATATATTTTGCCACTGAATATTCAAAACTTAAGGTCGTGAACTAGCAGTGTTATGTCGCTTTGAAACATCACTATCACTGTAAACAACAGGGCTAATAAAAATATAAATAAATACAAATTAACAGGAGGTGTTTAAAACCTTCGTTCTCCGTGACACTAGGCTGAATATCTTTGCAGATGAACAATGCAATAGCATTCGTTATTGGTGTAGAGCGAGCAGAACTGTTGCGCATGGAGAAAACTTTCAATGCTTTTCTCACCACTTTTGGAGCTGGTAGCTACAGTTGAAGCAGAGCAGGAAGCCGGGGATGCAGGAACACTGGAAGATGCTTCCACAACAACAACGAGGCGCCGCTTCAAGTGAGATATCAGATTAGTTGTACTGCCCGTGTATTTTACAGATGCGCGGCACATTTTGCAAATTGCATCTGTCCTAAAAAGTCGTCCATCTTTTTTGCAAAATCCATAATGTTGCCATACTTTAGATTTAAAACTCAGTGGGGAATAAAATGTTTGTTTTGCTTCTCGCGCTTTCTGAGGGCGCTCCACTCGCTTCATCCGCACACCTGATACACTGAGTTGTAGTGTAAGTGTACACATCCGCAAATCCGTTGCTAAGGCATACTTTATGTAGGTCGATTAAATTATGCGCCAAAAACAGGTTGACAACACTTGCTAATAATAAAAAAAAATCATTCTATATTAAAAATATAAGCTGTATCTTGGAAAAACCGATGCATCTCGATTTGCTTCCAAAATTTCATTCATCCTCTGCTGCTCTACCGATGCACTCGCATGACCGAGTATCGATACATATCGGTTAATCTTCCCATCCCTAGTCAATACTGACGAACTTTACACTCAAATCTCTGCATATCATCAGCATGCTGTAATCCATTTCTTAATCAGCAAAAGTCTTTTTTAGACTAGTTTGTTGGCCAGTTGTAGTCAGCGAAATGTTTAACGGTATTGTTTCACAATAGTTTGTTCATTTAGTCTCACGTCGCCCTGCAGCAACATCATATAGTTTAGAATTCTGTACAATGTTTTATAATAATTATTTTATTGTCCATTTCATTCAGCATATTTAATATCGGGGGCATCCATGTTTTTTTTTATACTTTAAACCAGAGTTTCTGCAGGTTTCACCAAGTTAAATGTAAGACTTTTAAAGACATTTTTAATACCATTATGACAATTTTAGACTCATAAAGGGCAAAAGGCTAAGGGATTTTTCAAATAGCCCAGATGGAAAAGATTTTAATTTGCCCTATTTAAAAAATATATGATAATTTAATACATTTAATCATACAATAATATATTAATTAAAAATATATATTTTAGATATTTCTTAGCAAAAGATTTTAAATTGTGTGTAATAACAAGCAAGCTTTACTTGTATCCACACACTTTTTTCCTAAATAAACTTTCTTTAATAAAAATAATTAAAAATGAACAAATGTTTTAAAAGTTTTAAAAACTATAAAAAACTAAATCTACACAACAATCTGTCCTCGATGTCTTCAGCAGTAAATACATGGAGCACGTTTAAATAAATGTTATCGTAAGGAAAATTATTAAACCATTATGACAAATAGAGTTAAAATTACTTTTTTTAATGAAAAGTTGAAAGTTTTATTGAGATGGATTGTTGGTGATTGTGTGGGTTTTGGCCAGATTGGGTAGCAAAACATGAACAAAGGACAATGAAGACTTGTTTAAAAAGATTAAAGACCTAAAACACAATATTTCATTAAATGTAAGACTTTTTAAGGCCGAAAATTTTGATTTTGGAGTTTACGACATTTTAAGACCCCGCAGAAACCCTGTTTAAACACAATAGCCCTGGTAATTAGTTATTATAATAATGATGTAATTCTAACTCAGATACTATCTGTGAGAACTAGTAACATCTACTAGAAACAAGTTTAAACCCATAAAGATGTTGATGAAAAAAGTTAATTTGGATCAATGTGACATATGCAAATGGAAAGTACTAAGCCAACACTATCACCGTAATAGCAGATATCTTCTATGAGAATACTATAGGTCAAATATCTTTAGCTCAGTTTAAGTTTTTTTTTTTAATTAGTTGTTTTTATTTATTTTATAAAGGGCCAGTGCTCAAGGACGCTTTACAAACAGTAGGAGAACAAGAAAAGCAATAACCTTAAGAAGGTAGAGAAAATGGGAGACTAATAATATATAAAATAATGACAAAAGACACGAGAACAAGTAACAAGAGAGAAACTCATTCCTGTCTTTCAATAGTCATGTTTCCATCCACCTATTTTTATGCACTTAAAAAAACTGTTTATGGAAACACCATCACGCAAAAAAAAAAAACAACGTATGCGCATAACTGAGTAGGATAAACGTTTTATTCTATAAGAAAAGATGAAAAATCACGATGGAAAACACGATACAAACTCCAGTATGTGCATTAAAAAGGTCATGTGATTTTGTTATAAGAGATCATGTGATGATAAAAATGTGTATGAATGGACAAAACAGCCGGCTCAGTACATTATAAAACATCTGGGGCCTCATGTACAAAGACTTGCGTGGTAATCATACTAAAACATTGCGTACGCACAAAGCTGTAAATGTGTAAATGAAACACTGCATACGCTGAATCCCACGCATATTCTTTTGTACATCAGAATGAACGTGAAACTGAGCGCAACATGCACGAGCACAAAACCCCTCCCCTGCCTCCTCCCCCGTATGAATATGCTAATGACTCTACTTTGACAAAACCCAACGAAAAAGCAAAGGCAAAAGCAAGCAAAAAGAGAAACTTTGAACAGAATGTGAATTGGAGGTGCTGCTTTGGTGTTATTTGCAAGTTCATTCTCCGGAATTAACAACAAAAGAAAAAAATAGAGTGGGGAGAGTTTAGCTGATGCGGTTAACATAGTTGGGTCTGAACATCGCACTGTGGAGTTAAAAGATAAATAGTGTGATTTATAGGTGTAAAATGCTGCAGCACCCTTAACAGTTTTATTGGCGCAGCTCGTAAGGTGTAGTCAACATGTTTAGACACGTTCGAGCATGAACTCAGTTCGAATCCAGCGTCTAATGAACTCAGACACTTTGTAGAGAGGAATTTAACACAACTGCCTCTAGAAGTCGCCAATGGAAATAAAACAGACAAGAACAAAAAATGTGCGTACGCCAGCCAGAAAGCTGCCGTGGAGCTGCTCACATTCCCACGTTCAGTTCATCGTTAGTAAATCCAAACGTGAGCGATTGTGAGCGTGAAACCTGGCGTACGCAAAGTTAATACATGAGGCCCCTGAACTCTTGTTTTGGTCATTCTTATACGCCTTACAGTTTAAGTATTAGTGTTATTATATTATTCAAGACCTCCAGAATTAAGAGCATCTTAGCCTCGCGTCTGACACCTTTAAACGCCACTACGCGTTCACTGCGTTTCAGGATTACCCTCTGAGGCGCAAGTTATTTATTAGATAAAGAAAAGATTAGCCGGATTTCTACTGTCGGGCATGTGCAAGCCAGGGCTTTTATCGGGCAGGGCCGGGCCAATCGCAATGTCTTTAATATGGTGTAAAGATTATTATGCGTTATTGAAACATCAAGGAGGATGCAGCAAAGTCACTTATGAATGAAAACTTTATCATTTTATGCAACAGCGTTACATTTAAAAAAGAAAACATAAGGGCGATCATACGCAAAAAATACTCCAGCCTAAAGCCTAGTTCACACTACAGGATTTTAAACATCAGCAGATCGCTGTGCCGTTCACACTACATGACTAGACTTTGTGTCTTTTAATCTCTGTGGTGTTCACACTACATGACACTACGTGAATGATCCACAAGAGGGGGGTCACACACTACATGATCTGACAACATCTCATTCCCCATCAGCTCATTCAAACTACCAAACCACAGCCAATGAAATTTCGAGGGAGGAGTCGTCAGAAAAAGCTGAACACTATTGGCTGCTTGTGTGCTGATGACATCACTGACAGCGATTCAAGCTTTGGAGAAATCATTTAAAAACATCGTCAAATCAGCTGATTTATCAGTGGATTAATCACTCATCTGCAGGTTCCAGTGGATAGATAAACACAGAGTTTTTAATTTTTGTAATTTTATAACTATTTAAAATAAAACTAACAAATTTATAACATCCTGCCGTTTTTTAACTATCAGTGTATTTCTTTCTGACATTGTTTTTTTTTTTTTTTTAATTACAAAACAGTAAAGAACTGAGCATTTCTGCCTTAAAATACCATATTGGTCAAAATGACTGCATGCATGTCTGATACTTTTTACTGTGACTTTAAATATGTGTGCATTTTCTTGCCAAGCAACTTCCTGCTAACATAAACAAAACTTTCTGATGGCAAAAACATCAATTTACTTTAGATATCTTTAAAAACAGCATATTCTGTGCAGTGAAATAGCTCCTGTTTGAAAGTGAAAATGAAAGCCAAGACCTTTAAGTGTTTTAGTATCTTAACTACATATTTATAGGCTGTATTACCAAAAAACGGTTATATTTTTAGGGTAATGGTGTCAGTAAATATGATGCCAGACATTCAAAGCTTAATTTTAATATCTCAATAATAGCTTTGAATGTAAATATGTTGTGACAATATGGCGTTTTATATGAGAACCGTCAGAATGAGCAGTGTAGTAATTCTAATAGTTACAGAATTCTAGTTCCACTGTTAATATAGCTTACTCTCATGTCTGTGCTAACGCAGAATGAAGCGAGTGCATCGATGCCCATTCTGACCAATCACAGATGTTTCTGGTGAGCTCCTGAACAGACAGGCACGCGGCTCATGCTGATATGCTCTCTCATTGGCTGCAGCTCGTCACTACATCTGACCACGCATGGGGTTGAGTCGGCCGACTGCTCTGGAATATTTAGCATGCTGAATGTTGGATTTCCATCTGCGAGGTGTCGGCGACGCGTCAGCGAGCCTCGTTGATGCGTTGTTCAGTAGTTCACACATAAAGAGTGCCGAGCACCCGCAGATTTCTTCCCGATCACAGCCCGATCTGTCGGCGAGCTCGGTAATTTCCAAATCGGGCTCAAATCAGGCTTAAAATCCTCTAGTGTGAACTAGGCTTACAAGGTTCGATGCTTTCTATCCCTTATTTTTTTATTTGGTTATTTGTTTGGTGCATGTACTCGTGTGCGATCGGAAAACTAGTGTCTGCCTCTCCTTTCACTCCGCCCCGAAGCCCCAGCTGGCCCACTTTGGCCCAAGGTATTCGGCGGGCCGAAAAAGGCCGGCCGCTGGCCCCGAGAAAACCCCGCTTTGGCTCGATTAGGCCCTGGAAGTGACAGTGGAAACGTGACTGGCCTTGGCTCGCCCTGTCTCGCTCGCTTTAGACGCGATAGTGGAAACGCGGCTATTGATCCTGCTTCTCTTTTTGCAGCAAATTCCATTTTTACTGTTGATTTTTGGCACCAGTTAATCAGGAAGTGATGATTTTGTTCGCTTGACTCTTTGTCGTTGTATTTTGCACGGTCTGTATTTTGCACTGTTGTTGTATTTAAACTGTCTGTATTTTGTACTGTCTGGAGCCAGCACCTAAGCTTTTCACTCATCATAGCACACGTGCTGCTGCTGATGTGACAATAAAAGTGATTTGATTTGAATGCAAACGCAGCTTTTTTCGCATATCTTTTATGCTAAAATCCAGTTTTGTGCATAAAGTTCATTCCCATTTTTGGATAGAAACATAGTTCATGAGTGCTTATGTGCATTTAGGTGAACTAGGTAGCACATTCAAAGCTGCAAGAAGGATTTAATTTAATATTCTTATTATTAAAATATATCTGAATGAGGATTAAATGACTGAGTTGGTCTTTGAGAATGAAAACCAACCTGTTTGTTCCTGTGGATCTTCCTGTTTGACTGTGAATGTTTCTTCAATCTTCACATCTTCACTCTCCTCTTTAATAAACGCCATCTTTATAACAGTGTGGAGATCAGTCACTTGAGCAGGAGTTTTTCTCTGTGTTTGGACACTATCCTGTTTAAAATAAATAAAACTATGAACAGAAACAAAATTCAACACTTACTTCTTAACACTTACTTCAACAGTTTCTTTATATGAGAGTGATTAACAATAAGAAATCAGGTAAGTTTGAGCAAGAAACAATAGCAACAAACAAATGACCTGATTAAAACTAGTAACGTTACTCCATTTCTTATATAGCCATAAACTTAGAATGGACTGACAATATACTATTTAATAAATTACATTTTCAATAAAGAACTTATTACACACATCTCTGTAACTTTTTTTTTTTACTTTATTCTTTATGCATGTTCTTAATTGTTTTTGTTTGTTTTATTTAGCTTATTATCTGCTTACAATGCATAGCACTTTTTTTGCATATGACAAATTTCCTCTTGAGGACAAAAAGTTTATCCTATCTTTATTCAAACAATTGTACTAATTCACTCACAGTAATGAGGGCTATGTTGTATAAAGGGTAAAATAATATTGTCAACAGCAGGTACATAATTTAACACTGAATGAAAAAAACTGAAACTTTAATTAATCGCTTTATATAAGTGTAAACACTTTAAAACACAAGCTGCGTCCCAAATGGCACACTATACACTATGCACTCATGCACTATGTACTTATGCACTTACACACTCAACAGGATAGTACATGTATGTAGTGTCGTCCCAAATGGCACACTAATGTTTTTTTACTAAACGGAAATTCAAACCGTTTCCCTGATGACGTTTCACAGTTGCCAAATCAGTGAAATAAATGACCGAATTATCAAATAATACCTATCGTGAGTATTGCCGCATTCACCATCGGGAGGCAATATAATCACTCTAGTAGGAGAATTTTGCTCTCTCCATCCAAAATAAATAAAGTTATCCAACATGTGCGTCCGATAGCTCCGCCCCTTCCGCTACGTAAGCAAACCTGCGGTCGTTGAGTGTGTGAAGTGTCCATCATTACACACTTCATTTTAGCGACTGAATGAGTGCATCATCCGGGTAATTAAAGTGCACTTATTATTTTAAGAGTTTTCAGTGTGAACACACTACTTACACTATTTATACTACAAAATGGCGTAGAATAGTGCATAAGTATGCGATTTGGGACGCAGCTAAACCTTTCTCCTGTTGAATCAGAGCGCTGGAACGGCGCAGGCTTATGACGTCACACGTCACGCCAAAATAAAAGTATTTTTAAACCTTTTTTTGCCACTTACTGTTGCAGTCTTGACTTATTGATACATTTCTCCTTCGTTTCCACTTTCTCACAGACGCACATATATTCAGTATTTGGAGTTGATCAAAACCTTTACTCTAAACATTTTAAGACAGTTAAAAAAACTTTTTTTAATCCACTAAGACTAATTGTTTAAAGCAAAAATCTCAACATTCTAAAAGGTATGACAAATAATCTAATGAGTGTTTAGAGCTGAAACTTTACAGAAAAGGAGGTAAAATAGGTGTCCTTCATGTAAAAAGTATTCATTACTACTACACGTTTTAGTTCTTCTGACTAGTCATGACTTATATATAGTTTTTCTCTGCGTTTGGACACTTTATCCTGTTAAAAATTAACAAAGCAATAAAAATGTAAAATGAATAAAACAATAAACAGAAAGAAAATAACTTCTCTTCTTCTTATATGAGAGTAATTAACAAAAAGAAATCAGATAAGTCTGAGCAAGAAACTATAGCCACAAATTAGCTGATTAAAACTAGCACTCCATTTCTTATATAAATTGATGTAAACTTAGAATGGAATGACATTATACTGTTTAATAAATTAAAGCTTCAGTAAGACACTTATTACACACACGTTGGTAAATAGTCATCATTACTGTGAGTAAAATAGTACTTCGTTGAATGTGTCTGTAAAGTTTCAGCTCAAAACACCCATCAGATTATTTGTTATACATTTTAGAATGCTGGGATTTTTTGCTTAGTCTAGTTGGATTATATATTATATATATATTATAGAAGTTAAACAAAATTGTGTTAATGTAGATTTAACTCGAGGAGCACAGTGAATATTCATTCTCCGTTGCTTTTAAAAGGTGTTAGTCTGTTAGATAAGAAATGAAACAATAGCTTTGTGTGTCAAATTTTTCATTTAAAAGGAAAATTTATTTTAGAGAAAAGTATTACTGGAGGTCTTTGGTTGAGGATATAGACTAGAACCTGGCTTTTACCTGGGAAATATTGCATTTCCAACGAGGCAAAAGAAATACACTTTAAAATTGTACAGAAAATCTACCCTGTAAAATTCTAGTATTTCCAAATTTTTTGACATCGACAGCTCCTGTTCATTCTGCAAACAAGCAGAGGAGACACTTGTACATATGTTTTTTGATTGTCCAATATGTAAGCAATTTTGGTCACTCCTAAATTTTCATATATCTACTTTTGCCAATGCTGTGAATTGCTTTAATCTAAAAGACATTATTTTTATTATAATAACCCAAAAGCTAAATCCCTGGAACACATCATACATTTTTTTTTTTAAATCTTATATGGCAAATTTTTCATTCACAAACAGAAATTCACAAATAATTACTCATCGTTTGCTCATTTTAGAATAGAATTTAACACTCTCCTAACATCACTTCATCTTATTAACAATAAAAAAATTTTCCTGAATGATTCCTGAAATATTATGCAGATGTATTTAAAAAAGATTCTCGATTTTAGTTCCTTTCCTTATGGTGATTTGTTTAAGTGTCATTGTAATTTCATTAATTTGTTTATTTTTTTTGTTTCATTTAGTAATTTTATTATTATTATTAATACTTTAATTATATTAATATTTTTTCCCTTTCTGTCTAATAGTATTATTTGTATTTGTATGTGATTTTAGAAATTTTTTCTTATGACAAAATTAAAGGGAATCAACTGGAGAAAGGTTTGTTTAAAAGCTTTTACACAGATATAAAGCGTTTGATTAAAGTTTCAGGTTTTTCATCCAATACTAAATGATGTTCCTGCTGTTGACAATATTATTTTAACCCTTTATACAACGTAATACTATTTTACTCAAAGTAAAGAGGACTATGGAACAACGTTAGTGTATTAAGAGTCTTAATGAAGGTTTTTTTTTTAAATAAAATAATTTCACTTCAATCTAAGTATACATCACTATATATAAAAAATGCAGTACTAATTTTAATCAGCTCAGTTGTGGCTATTGTTTCTTGCTCGGACTTACTGGATTTATTTTTGTTAATTACTCTTATATAAATAAACTGTTGGAAGAGGAAGTTATTTTGTTTCTGTTTAAAGTTTTATTTATTTTAAACAGGACATTTTTATTGTTTTGTTAATTTTTAACAGGATAAAAAGTCAAAACGCAGAGAAAAACTATAAATATCAAGTCATGACTAAAAGTAACTTAAGTGCCAAAAAAAAAAAAAAGGTTAAAAAGGCTTTTATTTTGGCGTGGATTGTGACGTCATAAGCCTGCGCCGCTCCCGCGCTGCGATTCAACTGGAGAAAGGTTTGTTTTAAAGCGTTTACACTTATATAAAGCGATTGATTAAAGTTAGTTTTTTTATTCAGTGCTAAATTATGTACCTGCTGTTGACAATATTATTTTAACCCTTTATACAACGTAGTACTATTTCACTCACAGTAATGAGGTCTATTGTTTGAATAAAGATAGGATAAACTTTTTGTCCCCGAGAGGAAATTTGTCTTGGGCAAAAAAAAAAATGCTACACGTTGCTGTAAGCAGACAATAAAGTAAATAAAACAAACAACAATTAAGAACATACTTAAATAAAGTTACAGAGATGTAACAGTGTGTAATAAGTGTTTTAATGAAGGTTTACTTTATTAAATAGTATAATGTCATTCCATTCTAAGTATACATCACTATAAGAAATGGAGTACTAGTTTTAATCAGGTTATTTGTGGCTTTTGTTTCTTGCTCTGACTTACCCGATTTCTTTTTGTTAATTTCTTTCATACAAAGAGACTGTTGAAGCAAGTGTTGAATAGAAGTTACTTTATTTCTGTTCATTGTTTTATTTATTTTAAACGGAACATTTTTATTGTTTTGTTCATTTTAAGCAGGATAAAGTGTCCAAACACAGAGAAAAATTCTGCTGAAGCGACTGATCTCCACACTGATGGCGTTTATTAAAGAGGAGAGTGTAGATGTGAAGATTGAAGAAACATTCACAGTCAAACTGGAAGATCTGCAGGAACAAACAGGTTGGTTTTCATTCTCAAAGACCAACTCAGTCATTTAATCCTCATTCAGATATATTTTAATAATAAGAATACTAAATTAATCCATCTTGCAGCCCTGAGTGTGCTGCCTAGTTCTCCTAAATGCACATAAGCACTCATTGAAAGACAGGAATGAGTTTCATTTGTTACTTGTTCTCATTTATTTTGTCATTCTTTTATGAATTATTAGTCTCCCATTTTCATGATCGTGGGCCAAAAATATCGTTATCGTGATGATAATACGATTAATCTCGCAATCTATATACCCTTTCATTATGTTCTTGGCTGTTTTTGACCCATTGACTTCTATTATAACCACATTTAACCGTTGAGCCATGACACCAAATAATCATGCATTCTAGATTGTTGCTGTTTTCTCTGTTGGGAAGAGGTCAAATGTGTCATTTTTACTGTTGATCATCAGTTGGCTGCATTCACCCTTTAGATAGGCCTGTTCAAAAAAAAGTTTCTGTCTTATATATGGAGTTCAGTGGAGTAAAACAGCAGATTTTAGTGTGAGTGCATAAATACACTTTGTAGGGGGACCAACAGTTTTAACCCAAAAATTACCCGTCTATCAGATGAAGAAGAGCAGGAGTCAGAGATTCAATTAAAAGAAAGTTTACTGTAGACAGTTTGCAGTTTCTTCAGCAGAGGCCAGTTTCAACACTCAACAAGTTTGTAGACCGATTTACATACAATCTCAGAACAACAACAATTAGATGTCTAGAATTCCCTCTGTTCTCTCTGTGCAAACTGTTTTAAGAAATGCGTCAGTAAAGTGCACTGAAACTTCACAAAAACTAAACACACAGGGAATATTTGAACCTATCAGTTTACAATATACTGATGCCTGTTCTTCTATGCTTTATTGGTGAAAATGGTCAGAAACGTTGGACCATTATTGCCTTTTTAGCATAAGCAGAGGGGAGAAACTAGCCATACAGTAATGTTTGAATTGTGGAGCGGGCTAAATCTTAAGGAACATGTATTTTTTAGTAAGTGTACTTTTTCTTTTTTTGCTTTCATTCTTGCCATAATAAAAATATGTATTTGTAGGGCAGCCCATGTTCTGCTGTCATTAATATTTTAAGAAATTATAATGGCTAGAACTGTCCGAGATATGAACAGAAGCAAGTGATGCACCAAAGTTTGATTAAAAAAAAATCTTGAATGGTCATAAAAATCCTTATATCATTAAAATAATTTATATAAACAAAAAATCTATTTAGTTTAAAAACATTAAATGATATTTATGAAATTACGTAGTTTCGGAAACTTTCTACTTCTCTGTGTATCCGTCTGACTTTACAGTGGGTTTCTTTTGACCGCCCCCTGTCATTTTAAAGAATATCACAATGGCGAACGTGGCGAGTAAGGCCTCGTCCATTTCGTGGGGAGGAGCGTGCAGTCAGCGGTGGTGCTTGATGCGGTACCAGGCTAGAGTATTCACCTTATTCTTTGCCAACAAGCGAGCGCAGCCATTTGAATCTTTTTGGCACGAGACTTCCGGTCTTTCACTTACATTCATTTTTAGACATTAAAAACTGCTATTTTCGCTGTTTGATGTTGCAAACTGATATTTCCTTATTATATTATTCTACTTGGTCTGTATAGTCATGCAAACATTTGCTTGTTGAGCAAGTAGTTTGACTATTTTCTGCCGTTTATTATTCCTAGTCATTTCTACCTTAGGCGACTGAATGGGAAGTTCTAAAACAATCGCGAAAACAGGCGCACTTACGCATTTTAGAATAAGGTCAATAAATCCAGCTTCTCTCTCTTTCTCTCTCTCTCACACACACACACACACACACACACACACACACACACACACTATACTCCATAAGGCAGAAACTTTTTTGCACTGAAACTGATAATCAATTTTAAAAATCACAAATCTCTTCCCAACAGGGAAATGTAATGGTGATGTGGGAATGGTGATCCCCCCCCCCCCCCCCCCAAAAAAAAATACAATAAACAAATATTAAACAAATATGTTTGTCACTTGTTTTTAAGCAGTTAATCTTGGGCGCCAGACAGAATATCTGTCAAAATACATTTCAAACAAAATATACCACGGCTAGCTCTCACCACCAGTTACAAATAATAAAAAATAAATAAATAAATAAAATAACAAACAATGAGAACCAGAAAAAACTCAGATAATTGCTGTAATTGTCTAAATAAAGTTTGTATTAGTCAATAATAATAATAAAAAATACTTTTCACACACAAACAGTATCTACAACAAAACAAACAATATAACAATGAAACGCAGAACCCTCAGCACTTATAACTCAAATGAAAGAAAAAAATGCAAATAATTTCAGGCCAGCAGATTCGTCACATCTGAAAACGGGGAAAATAATAATGATAACAATAGTACGGGGAGAAAACAAAACAAGAGAAACAAAATGAGCATTTGGGCAAAGAAAACAAAAACTTTTGCTTCTTACCCACGGAGCGGAGGGGTCAAGGGACATGAGTGGGGAATGGCGAATGTGGATGTGAAGGTTGAGGGTGTTGTTGAACCCAGCCGGTGAGTTGGCAGCTGACTCCATGCCAGCGAGAAAGATAAATCGGTGAGTTGATTTTGTTCAGGACACACTGCACTGAAGTCTTTTGTGCAGTGGCGTAGCGCAAAATGCGGAGGCCCCCCTGCAGGGATCGCTGACGGGGCCCCCTGATGAAGTTTGGGGGGGGGGATGGATGCGTCATACGTCAATTTGCATATCACTGACGTAATAACGTTCTACTGTTTCTGTTTGTTTAACAGCCTATGGTTAATAAAGGGGTATTTATAATTGCACTACACTTTATAAAAGCATGTTTATTTAACTAAATGTATTGCTGTTTGAATACAGTATGTCATTATATATGTGTAGTGTATGTGCAGTAATCTCTCATATGTAATAAACAAGTTTAGAAACTGTCACTAAAATATCTGTGATTGTGAACAAGAAAAGAATAAACGGTCCAATTAAATTGTTAAAATAAAGGAGAAGTAGATCGGATTGACTGTACAAGGGAAATACCTTCACACTGCCTGTGCTAAACCATTTGTCGTCGGTACGCAGAGGGGTGATCTGCTCTCGGGCTGCAGGTGGGAGAGGCTGCTGTACGAGGACTGACTAGGCTGCCTGTCAGTGCTGTGAGGCGGGGGAGGGGTCGGCGGCATCACACGCAGCTCGTTGAGAAGAGTAGGGACGCTACAGTATGGACAAATGACAATCTACAAAAAAAACTCCAATAACACACAAAAAAGTCGATAGATTTGTCGCTAGGGGGGTCTGAAAAATCGCTAAATCTAATGACAAAGTCGCTAAGTTGGCAACATTGGCGGCAAGCAATCAGAATGAAGTAGTCCACCACTTGAGAGGTGTTCAGAGAACACAGACCTGTGAACTTTGGTTCCGACCAAGAGTTTGATTATTGCGGTTGCCGAATTATCAATTATTAAAAATCGCGACGATGCGGGGCCCCCTAATCACGCGGGGCCCCCCCGCGGTGCGTGCCCTGCGGGCCCGTCCGCTACGCCACTGCTTTAGTGACGCACACATTCAACGACGTCACGTGCACTTCAGTAACAAGACAGCGGTCTTTGATCTGTTGCTTCAATACATACTTCCGCTTTTTGTTTCTCACAGCCAGTCGTTAAGTTTACACTGCTCATCTCGACCCGACTTCTCTACTCGTTTCCCCACACTGCAACAGTTCAGTCAACTTCTCTTTCTTCTACACACCACATAATGCTGTCCTCTTCAACTCTCCTCCTCCTCCTTTATTCTCTCACCCATTTCCTTTTTGCCGTCACAAAGAACACCAACAATCATAAATTCATGAATATGTGCTGTCATGGCTTTGCAATAAAAATGTTCTTATAATAGAGGTCAATGGAGAAAAAACAGCCATGAATATAATGAAAAGGGAGTAAATTTGCCCAGAGTGTATTGAGGTTTTTAAAAAAAAATTTTAAAGCATTTTCCCATTGATGGGGACTTCATTGTGTCTTGATGAATTTATTACTCTCATTTATATGCTTATTTGAGTGATTTCCATGTTGTTGTTGTTGTTATTATTATTTATTGTATTTTATTTGCACTATAAAAATTTTTATAATAGAGGCCAATGGAGCATTTTTCCAGAATATGTCAAAATAAGATGTCCCCAAATATCAGTCCATTTGCTGAAACACTGAGAACGTTTGGGCCAAATTAAGCCTCAAAATCACCCCAAAATGGATGAAAATGACCCAACAGCACACAAGTTGAAAGGTGCACATTCCAGCCTTTATGCAGATGCTGTACAGGTATGTCTCATATCTGTGAGGCAAATATTCAGCTGTTACCCCAGCACTTTTTTTGATACATTTCGTAGAAATCTTTGTTTTATCAATATGACCAAAATTACTTTTATGAAAAACTCTGAAAACTGGACTGACACTGTTTAAATTTACTATAACTTCTATGTTAAGCAGCTTTGACACAATTTACATTGTAAAAGCACTAGATAAATAAAGATGAATTGAATTGAATCTGCTTAAATGTGTACACGTTAATGGACCAAACAAAATATGATCTGATTTATTTTACATTTAATGTGGATCAAAATTACAGTGTGTATAGCCAATGTTTCCAGTGTCTTTTCACTTTTCAGCTTTTGATGAGAGTTTTTAAGACTTAATGAAAACTAATGTTTTATTTATTTCAGACCTAATTGAAGAGAATGAGGAGAATAAAGAGGAGGAACATCATGTCAAAATTGAGGAAAAAACTCATTTACAGACTGATGGTGTTTTAAAAAGGAGAGACAAGAATCGTTTCACCTGCACTCAGTGTGGAAAGAGTTTGGCAAGCAAAAGCAAACGTAAGATTCACATGATGATCCACACTGGAGAGAAACCATTCACATGCACTCAGTGTGCGAAGAGTTTCAACCAATCATCTCACCTTATTCAACACATGAGGATCCACACTGGAGAGAAACCATATGCATGCACTCAGTGTGGGAAGAGTTTTAATTGCTCAACAAACCTTAATCAACACATAAGGATCCACACTGGAGAGAAACCATTCACATGCACTCAGTGCGGGAAGAGTTTCATCCAATCATCAAACCTTAATCTACACATGAGGATCCACACTGGAGAGAAACCATTCACATGCACTCAGTGTGGTAAGAGTTTCAGCCAATCATCACACCTTAATCTACACATGAGGATCCACACTGGAGAGAAACCATTCACATGCACCATTTGTGGGAAAAGTATTAACTGCTCATCACACCGTAATCACCACATGAGGATCCACACTGGAGCTAAACCATTCACATGCACTCAGTGTGGAAAGAGTTTCAGCAAATCATCATCCCTTAATAAACACGTTGAAGGAACTCATAGGCATATTGCAGTGGTCAACACGAGTTGAATCTGAAATCCTGGGCATCTGCAAATTGTCTCTGTCATTAAACTGGCTTAAGGGCTTAAACCATCAGGATAACAAAGCACCAATACTTTGGCCGCAGATGTTACAGGTACCCTTCAGCAAAATTAGCAAATGATTTAAACTAAACAAAGGGGCTTTACAGGATTTTCAGCAGGAACCACCTCACAAGAGTTTTAAATGACTCCTCTACATGGTCATGTGCTTTGGGCACATCCTGTCAGATGCACAATTTCATAGAGACAAAGAGATCTCTAGAAACATTAATGCATACAAATGAAAGACAATCTCTTAAAATGTTAGAATGTTTTAACCCTTAAAGCAGATTAAATTGATCTGCGTGTGTCTGAAATGTATGATATCTGGTCTTGAATGAAAGCTAGTGACATTTGCAATCTGTTGGTGTAAATTAAAAACTAGTAGTACAAACAGTATTCATCTTGTAACATTTGATGTAAGATAATTTTAATCTTGCAAGAGTTTTACCATGTAAAATTTACATGCAGTGTGTTAATGATTGACACTTTCTACGTCGGCACAGGGTGTGGCCCCGCCCTTCATGGCAACTGCTCATTGGCAGACAGTGCCATAGGGATGGATCAGACCAGGTCACTTAAAAACACCCTTCAACAAAGAAACTTTGCTTTGAAACCGCACGAACTTCCGCAAACCGACTTTCATCAGTCCGTCACCTCAGTAACCCAGAACTACCCACCCATGAGCGAGAGAATTCCAAGGACGTCACAGAAGCCACCAGCCAATCAGGAGCATTGTGTTTACCCAAGGCCAACTGGTGAGGGAGATTCATCTTCAGCAAAGGTGCAAGTAACAAACAAACGTTGTCTTGTAAACAGTTAAAGATAAGCCATATCTCTGCTTTTGTGGTTTCTCAGGTGTGATTCTAAGATCTTGTTAGAAGTTTGTAACGAACAAACGTTACATGCTTTGTGTTACAAGGTGGTGTTACAAGTTTTAGAATGAATTTGGGATGGTAGTCAACTCTTTACATCCTCTGAACTGCCTCTGTGTGCGAGTTTGTTTGTTGTTTGCTTATTACGTAGTTAGTTTCATGTATCGTAGTGTAGCTCAATAAATCTTTGTTCTCATTTTGTAAGAATTGTGTTCTTGTTTATGTGTTTCTAAGTCATTGCCTTGAGCTGTAGATCTTGTTACCTTGCTAAAAGTTAACCCAATAGTGTGTTATGTTATTACCGTTGGCCACATAAATAATCTTAACAAGATTGGTAAGATACAATGACTTCAATTTGCAAGACAAATGGTAGATAAAGTGTGAATCTTTTAATCTGATTCAGTCTGACTCAATTGAGTCAAATCAATGATACAAATCTTTAAGATCCGGTACATTAAAATGAGCTAATAAACCCTGATCGATCTTAAAATGTAGGTTGATCCCCTACAACATGATGAGCCGTACTGTAGAGAAACCATTCACTTGCACTTAAGCCACGGTCACACTGGACTTTTCTCCCCATAGATTTCCATTCATGCGCACGTGAATGCGCCAGACCGGAAATGCAAGTTCGTGCATCAAGTTTTGCAGTTCACTGCATTGTAAAGTTCAAGCTTGGTGAACTCTGACCTGCGAAATCACATCACTTGACAGTGTGAGACCAATCGAATATCAAAACATGACTTCTCTGGACAGAAATGTAAAATATGGACCAACCGCTCTCCTTTTTAATGTCTAAAAATCTTATTTAATCCCGCCCCTTTTTTGCAGTGCCGTACAACAGAATTTTTCATGCTCAATGCTCTAATGTGACCGCAGCTTCGGTGTGGAAAGTTTCAGCAACTCCTCAGACCTTAATAAATGTATGAAGACCCACACTGGAGAGAAACAATTGACATGCACTCAGTGTGGGAAGAGTTTCAACGAATCAGCAGAAGAGTTTCAACGAATCAGCAAAACTTAATGACCACATGAAGATCCACACTGGTGTGTAAGAGTATGTGTGCTTGAGTGTGTGAAGACTTTTATTACAGCTCCAAAATTTAAACTGCACCAGACGATTCACACTGGAGAGACCGTATAAGTGTTCACAATGTGACAAGAGGTTTAATCACTTAACAAATCTGAAAACACACACTGGAGAGAAACCGTACAGATCTGATCAATGTCTACAGAGTTTCGCTCATTCGATGCAGCTTAACAAAAAACAACAAACAAAAACTCCTCCAGCCAGAACCCCGCTCTACTCAAAACTTCACCCGATGCCTTGCCTGCATTCCAGCCTGAATCCCCGCAAGACGCCGGCACATCAGTTTTTCCTACTTCTACTTCAACTGCCCCACACAACACAAGCCACAACTCCGACTAAACTCAAGACGCCAGCGATCCAAGCCACCACAATGAAGCCAAACTCTCACTGATCTCCGAGCGGTCCACATTCAGTAACGTGCATGCTTTAAAGGGAAGTCTGGAGAGACCAGCGTGAATAGAATACTATACTATATAGTACAACAAAATCAGTATGCTAGCCGAGTAGTATGTCCGAATTCGAAAATCAGTATGCGAGAAGTACCCGGATGACTTACTACTTCTGGCTAGATTCCGGAGTGCGCATCCCATGCATGTGTTACGGGTCCCGGCCGCGGAACTCGTAGGCAGATTAAAGTGCCTGAATTATCAGGAGAAACAAAATCACAAGAAAACTTCAGTGTCTTTCCTCGGGAGCAGCTTAGTAGCATCTGTTTATTAACAGTCATAGTATAGCAAACATATCCTCACAAATCATGTTTCATTTTATCAAACACACAGTTTTGTTCTCTTTTTTTACAACAATGAAGTCTTCAAATACTTATACACTCTGTACTCTCATCAACACATATAAATATTATACCATTTGTATATTTATCAGTAGCACACAGATTACACTTTAAATCCTTTGTCAATCATCTATTTCATTTTTCTTTCTTTGTAAATACCTCTGTATATAACCATTTACCATAAGACTACTAAACTCACTGAACAATCATGCGTCTGTTATTTGTATCATTTAAATTGTAACAGTTACACTTGACACCAATTACCAATGTTACTCTCTACTCTCATAAACTTTATACATTAACAAATATACCACTAATATATACAAATAATAAGTCACTTTCTGTTTAATTATCACATACTGAGTATAATACATATCATTTACTGGGAAGTCAGTTATAAACTCAGCCCAACTGTCATTTTACTGGTACTTTCATCTGAATCACTCCTTTCAATTAACAACTGTAAATATGCTATTCACTTTAAAAAAAACACATAGGAAATGTGTACTCACATGTTTTTACATGAATTATAATAAACATATTGACTTTTTTTATGAAACATACCTGAATTATCAGGAGAAACAAAATCACAAGAAAACTTCAGTGTCTTTCCTCAGGAGCAGCTTAGTAGCATCTGAAGTAAACACAACAAGTATCGCCATGGTAACCCACAGCGCATGCTTTCTCAACTGTTGCTGTTATTTTGTTTCAAACCCAGTCATTAGTAGTGATAATAAATTACTTTTACAGTATATATATAAATAAATAGATACATTAATGACAAAACAAACATTACTACTGTAGATACACAATGGTGTATCACACACTCCCCAACAAAGAAAAGATGGCTCCTGCCAGTATAATCTCTCATCATAACACCTTTTATCCTTAATCTTTTAGTACCCTATTGTCATAGGAGCTATCCAAAATGGAAATGTGACTTGTGGCGTAAGAAAGGAAAATGCTGTACTAATGCAAGGTGTAAGGTAAGGTGTAGTTTGGTAGGATGGTAACCCCCAATGTGGTGTCTGATTCATCTCATAAGTCTCTAAAGTGTTTACTGTTGGGTATGACTGAATTTCTGGCTGACCTAGCATTTCATAAGTTAGTCTAGATGTGGGTCTTCTGTCACGTGTGGATCTTCGGACTTGGCTTGTTTGGTCAGTTTCCTCTGAACTCAAGGTAGGTATTTTAAAAGCGTCTTGCTTAGGTGTATCATCTTTGTATATCTGACTACATTCTTCTTCAACTTGTTCCTCTTCTTTTTCAGATTGTCCTGTCAATGTCTCTGTCCATGTCATTTGTCTTTCACAGGTAAGTTCATTTTCATTAGGAAGATTACAGGTAAGCCTTTCATTTTTTATAGGTTGTTCTCGAATCTCTGTCCGTTTTCTTAATCTTTCTTTTTCAGGTCGTTCACAAGATTGTTGTCGCAAAGGATGACAGATAGGTTTCTTGTTTTCTATAGGTTGTGTTCTCCAATGTGTTTTTCTTTCTCTTTCAGATTGTCGTTGTGGAGGATCACAGGTAGGGTTATCAGCTGGTTGGTTAATGATGAGTCTTTGGTTGTTCTCTTGTGTTTGTCGTGCCCTCAACCAATAATAGTTCTCATCCGGATTCTCATCACTATCAGACTCAAAGGGTGATCTTGTCTCATCATTTTGTTTTGTTCGATTTCTTTTGGTTCTTTGTTTAGATACTTCCTCTGGAATTTCTACTGGTAAGTCATTAACTTGATGAAGTAGATTCCTGTGCAAAACTCTTGATTTTGAGCCGTCTATCTCTGCAACCACTCGGTAGACTGGTCCATCATTTATTTGCTCTTTGACAATGTATATAGTTTGCTCCCAATATGATCTCAATTTTCCTGGTCCACCTCTCTCATTTAGGTTTCTCACTAGTACTCTGTCACCAGGCTGTAGGATAACTCCTCTAGACTTTTTATCATAGTACAATTTTCCTCTCGCACTTGAGTTCTTACTGTTCTCTAAAGCGATTCTGTAAGCTTCTGTCATTCGCTTTGCCCACTGTTTAGCATATCCTCTTGGATCATCACTTTTCTCTTCGTTAGTCACTTTGAACACAAGATCAATGGGTAGTCGTGGGTGTCGTCCATAGAGTAAATAAAACGGTGAGTATCCTGTCGCTTCATG